AGTATGTCCCGTTTCGTCAGCACTTCCACGACCCTCACATGCAGTTGCCGAGAGCGCTGCACTCTCCACCGCTATCTAACTGATACCTCGTGACCACCCTTAGATTGTACATAGACCTGGTATTATTTTGCATCGTTACCCTTTTCCCTTTTTCTGCTTACTCAGCAGAGCCTCTATGTTACTAGCCCGTTATTCTTCTTCAACCCCTATACATACGTGAGTTTGCGGTGATTATCAACTCTGTCCCTTCTTGCATAACCGGGGAACTACTACAGGTCTATTATCCGCTCTTGTGTGTTTCAACCTCAACGTCTTCCACTGCTACACCCTTTAGGGGTAAGAATGGACCCAACGCACTACTTCGTATACACAGAAACGCGACCAAAATCGTACGCTATCAGTTCCCCAAACTACAAACAGCTCACTACAAAAAACCAACTAAATGGCTTACATTCCAGCACATCAATTCGATCAGCTATAACTGTCGCCCAAGGGTCCGCCCTGTTGTGCATCTATTATTTGACAGTTGCACACTCCGTTTTGTGGCAAAACAAAGAGAGTTAATGGATTCACCAACATACTCAGTCCCAAAAGAACCTAGGGGGAAGTGAGTCTCCAGATAAATGAGGAAGAAAGAGCGTTTTGCGCGATTCTTTGGGATTCTATTTACCTGAGCGTCGAAAAAATACTTCCTAAGCTGGCGTTAATTGACACAGTTATGTACGCAGGCCTGCTCACGGCCTTAGCTCCGGCCTTTAAGTGCTCAGTTCCGAAAGGTGGTGTGAGGAGAGAGAAAACAGAAGCCGGGCTTCTACCTTTGGTCATCCGCTCAGCTGACGCGAAAGTAAGGGGAGGGGGAGGATCTGTTCTGTGTGTGTGTGTGAGGGAGAAAACTTATGCGCGCACGAACAGACGGACGAAAGAATAGTTGACAGACCAGCGGACTGATGACGGCAGCTCTGCTCCCGACTCCACTCCCAAGTATTCATTCGCTCCTTTCAGAGGTATTGCGCCCCCCTACATCATTGTATTGGCTGCGGCGCCTGGACCTGTCAGCGCCTGCCTCTTGACGGAGTCCTTTAGGAAACGGTTGGGCGTACTCTTGGTGACGAGAGCAGCTTCCGGGGCTGTCATGGCCTCCAACTTAGCGTCCATCAGCTCGACCATCCGCGTAAAGACTAGGTTCATTAGAATAATACCAAAGAGAATGTAGAGTAGAGAGGCCACATTGAGGAAGGTTTCGGAGGTGGGCACAATATCACCCAGGCCGATTGTGGTTATACTTATGAAGGAGAAGTAGACGGCATCGAAAGGACTCCATTCAGCGGCTGTAGGACCAATGCACCAACAGTAGATGAGACCGCTGAGCGAGAAGTAGCCGACAAGCAGGGCCATACACGTTAGGAACTAAATAGAACGTAGAAAATAAATAAAGAATTTAAAGGAGTACAGTTTTTGCTGCAGCCCAGAATACTTGTCGTTTTCTGTTCTGAAAGGCGTTTTCACGAGGTGCATGTTAAAAATCCCACTCGAGTTGTTTTGCCTGCAGGATCAGTTATTTCTCATGATCAGCGCTGACGACCTGAACAATCAGTCATCTTTACTTGTGATTTACCCAGGTTGTACACTACCGTTAAAAATGCTAGTCGACGAATACAGCAAGAAAATCATGTAGCAGATCAGAGAGAGAGTTAAGACTGGGCAACAGTAGCTTATGTAGCCCCACTCATATACTCCTAGTCCCAGCATTTTATCCTACGAAGACGGTGGTTATAGGGTTTCAGAGGGTGGGAAAATAGGACTGGCAGAGAAAAAAATGATAAGAAGTAAGTGCAAAGTGAAAAAATGTAGTCAAATTTGTTTTCCGCGGCCGCTGGGAGTAAGTTATTCCGCATGCAATTTAAAGGTGTGCGCGGCGCTTCGTGCCGTGGGCTACACTAATCTAACTCCAGAACGGTAAGTTGGACCTCTGGTAAGTTGAGGTAGACGACCTCCTAATCGCCGCTTCTATTTTTCGGAAATTTCAAGAAACCTGCAATTTAACATTTGGGTTTTTCAACAATACGTTAAACGATACTACAGATTAGGAAAATTTACTGATATAGATTAACAACACTTCCAAATACGATATAATAAAAATGCATATAGCAAATATTAAATAATATTTCACTGCGTATCCTAATTCTCCACCCACAAAACCCTATAAACACCGTTTTCGTAGGACAACATGCTGGAAGT